AACATCAAAGACTTACATTCAGTTTTTGATAGATTTTGGCGGTCTCGCCTTGTCGGCTTCCCCACGTTCCAAGACAACCCAACAGGCCCCCAAAATCGCCTAAAAAGCATCCAAGAGGGCCCCAAAACAACCCAAGAGGGCCCCAAGACCACCCAAGAGGCCTCCAAGACAGCCCAAGATGCCTCCAAAACGGCTCCAAAAGGGAGCCCAGACGGGGGACCCGAACGGACATTTCGAGCCCTCGGCCTGAGAGGCTCCCAGGAGGCCCCCAGATGCCCCCAAGAAGCCTTCCAAGAGGCCCCAAGAGGCACACAAGAGACCCCCAGGAAGCCCCCCAAAAAGCTCCCAAGAGCCTCCCAAGAGGCCCCCGAACTACCCCCAAGAGGCCCCGAGAGCGCTCGTCGTCGTCGTCGTCGTCGTCGTCCTTCGTCGTCGTCGTCGTCGTCGTCGTCGTCTTCGCCGCCGCCGCCGTCGGCGTCGTCGTCGTCGTCGTTGTCGCGGTCGTCTTCGCCGCCGCCGCCGTCGGTGTCGTCGTCGTCGTCGTCGCTGCCGTCGTCGTTCAGGGTCGGCACTGGCCGTAAAGCCTAAGGCCTCTCCGATATGAAGAGGTCGAGCCGAAGGTGTCAAGCTATGCTGCTGACTCGGTGCTGGCCCCGCCCAAGGACGAGCAGAACTGATGACATGCACGCAAACAGACACGCACACACATAACACACAACGCACAACACACACAATACAAACCAACACACAGCAACAAACAACACCACACAACAACACACATACACACAACAGCACACACACACACACGACAGCACAACAACACACAACAACACACAAGAAAACACACAACACACAACACACAACACACAACACACAACATCACACATACTACACACAACGCACACACACACGCACACACGCACACACACAAACGAACACACACATACACAAGATACACACGCACGCACGCGCACGAGCCCCCCCCCACCACACAAACAAGCACACACGTACACACAAACACATCTACACCACACACACACACACGCACACACGCTTACACATGCGCGCCCACGAGCCCCGCACACCACAAACACACACACACACTCACGCATGCACGCACGAACGCTTGCACGCACACGCACACACTGCACACGTACAGACATACATGTGACATACGCGCGAGCAGGGCATGCACGCGAGCAGGGCACACACACATTGACACACACATTGACACACACACACATTCACTCACTCACACACACACACACACGCTTTCACACACACACACACACACACACGCGTTCACACACACACACACGCACACGCATACACACACGCACACTAAGTAGAGGCACTAACGCGCGGTCGCGGCCAGGCCGTCAACAATCGCTTGTGTGGGTGGCAGGGAGGCGACACGCCACCCGAGGGTCCTTCCCAATCGGCGGTATGGTCAATACACACACGTACACACACACACACGCACGCACAAAGACAAACCCGTACGCACGTACGCACGCACATACACGAACACACTCACACATGCACACACACACACACACGCACACACAAAGACACATCCGAACGCACGCACGCACATACACGAACACACTCACTCACACATGCACACACACGCACACACAAAGACACATCCGCACGCACGCACGTACGCACCTACACGGACACACTCTCACACACATACACGCACACCCACACACTCACACTCACACGCACACACGCGCGCACACACATGCACACACATACTCACACACTCACACTCACACACACACACCCACACACACGCAACATACACACACTCACACTCACACTCACACTCACACACAAGCACAACCACACACACAAAAGTATACATTCATTCATATATTAGATACAAACGCACGCACGCACGCAGGCACGCACGCACACAGACACACACAGACACGCACACAGACACACACACACACAACCACACAGACACAAAGACACACAGACACACGCACACGAACCTTCATCGCTTTCTCGGGAGTCGTCGGCGCAACAACTTCGAGAACGATGCAACAGTGCAGTGAGGACTGAATGCTCCATGTTGTCGCATTTGCGGCGTCTCAGTGCATGCCGCATGGTCGTACGGCCGGACCTAGGAAAGACGAACATCTGTCAAGAACAGAAAACCCCCAGGATGCACAAGGGCATTCAACTGACACGCAGAACATTAAGGTACCCTCCCCGAACCGACCTCGATCTTATGCTTCGGTCCGACCGTACTCTGGCTACTCCTCATGCCCCTGTCTTGACGGCTGCCCCGCGCCACTGGCACGCCTGCAAGCGCCGAATGCTGTGCGTGCATCCCATCCGCTTCGATCGCACTCCTCGCGGCGCTGCCCCCCCTGAACAAATCCATTGGGCCTCGAAGCTCGCGGCTGGACGGAGCGCGGCGCCAAGACCACCCAGACATTCTTGGCGGCGCGCACAAGGGGGCTCGGGGTAGGGGGAGAGCTTCTTAGAAGGAGGCTGCTTCTCAGAAGGTGCCTGTCTTACATCTGCAGATGCGAACCGCGCCTTCTGAGAAACACGGGTGCGAGGAGGAGGAGGAGGAGGAGGAGGAGGAGGAGGATAAGCTTTCCCCCTCCCCCTGCCCCCACCCTGCGCGTGGCCGACCTTCCCTCCTGCACTCCAGCGTTGTGGTCCTCGTGCAGACCGCTGCAGACACTGGAGGCCCCCCCAATTCGGGGGGAGCGAAAGGGGGCCATAGCAAAGGGTCGGGTAGAGAATCAGCTCACGTAGCTGATTTTCCCAGCGCCCCCCGGCGCCGGGAGGCGCCCATGTATGGAGGAACGGGCCCGGCGGCGGGGCCAAAATCAGCTGCACGCAGCAGATTTCGTGCCCCCCCCTTTCCCTATCCCCTACTTTCGTTCGGCCCGACAAATGGGGTCCGAACAGATGGGGTATGAGGGTGACGCCGCATCACCGATGCATCGCCGACGTCGGCGACGAATCGGCGCCGTCGGCGTGGAGAAAATCGGGCTCCACATCGAGCCGCATCGGCGATGCATCGTGAATGCGGCGCGATCCTCCGACCCCATCTACTCGGACTCCATCTGGGAGGCCTGAAGAAAACCTGAATTCAAGAATGCGGACATCTCTTGGGGAAAAGAAAGGCATGTCTCGCCTCCACTGGCTTTGACCGGCCTTCCATAGAAGAACAAACAACTGCATAAGCACACCTCCCGAAAGAGCCTCCATAGGCAAAACGCTTCCAGACGGCCCGCGACGCGTTCAAGACTCCCCCAGCGGCCACCAAGAAGCCTCACATGCCCAACGCAAGCCCTGATAAAAAAAAACAGCCGCCGCCCCTGCAGCGCCGCACCGAGAAAGACCGCTCGGTCAGTCGACAACGGCACGCAATTATGGGCCGGCGGAATGAGCGAAGCGATTCAATAAACAACTGCACACACACAAACTTCTGGAGGTTCGCGCGGGTTTCTTGGATCCGCGAAGGACCACCCTCCCCTTGCAGACGCACTCACGCTCCGACTCACGCATGCTCAGACTGACTCAGACTCAGATTAACTCATCCGCCAGCCCACTCATACTCATACTCACTCGCACTCAGACGTCCTCACACTCAGACGCACTCGTGCTCAGACTCACTCACACTTAGACTCACTGACACTCAAATTCTCATCCGAATTCAGACACACTCGCACACATACCCACTCTTACTCAGACTCATTCATATTCAGACTCACTCATACTCGAATTCCTCATACTCGAATTTACTCGCACTCAGACTCGCACTCAGATTCGCAGATTGTGAGGCTGTCTCGAAGGAGACGCAGGTCTCGACACCCAAAAGGGGAGACGCAAGGGGTGATTGCGCGGGCCCGTTCGCGCCCAGAGTGTGGGGATGTCTTAAGCCGTTTGCCTGTTTGGTTGCTTAGACATGTCTGCTGTCAAAGCAGATTGTGAGGATGTCTCTGGCGAGGCACTGGTCTTAACATCCCAGGGCGGGGCGGCCGGGGGTGATTGCACGGGCCCGTTCGCGCCCAGAGTGTGCGGATGTCTCAAGCCGTTTGCCTGGCAGGTGGCTTGGACTTGTCTGCTGTCAAAGCAGACTGTGAGGATGTCGCAGGCGCGGCGCTGGCTTCAACGCTCCCAAGGGGGAGCCGTCAGGGGGTATGACACTCGCGCGTTCGCGCCCAGCGTGGGGGGACGTCTCATGCGCTTTGCCTGTTTGGTGGCTTAGACTTGTGTGCTGCCCGAGCAGATTATAAGGAAGTCTCCGGCGAAGCGCTGGCTTCAGCGCGCCCAACGGGAAGCCGCCAGGAGGTATGACACTCGCCCGCTCACGCCCAGAATGCGGGGATGTCTCAAGCGGTTTGCGCGTTTCCGTGTTTCGGCTTTCAGAGCAGATTGTGAGGATGTCTCAAACGATTTGCTGGCCGCAGCGCTCCCAAGGGGCCTATACTGTGAGTATATCTCAGGCAATTTGCCTGGTTGGTGGTGTGGACTTGTGCTCCAGATGCCATGCGCTGGTTTCAACTTGATTCGCCTGTTCGTTTGGTCGATGCTTATGATTTCAAAACAGATCCTGATGATGTCCACGGCGAGGCGTTGGTCAGACCACTCTAGGGGTGTGCGTCCAGAATGTCTCACACATGATGTTTTTGGTATCTTCCAGAGCTCGCTGGAGGTCGGCCGGACGGACTGGGTATTGCATCAATCTGCGCGCCGTCGCGCCGAAGAGTGTCAACCCGCGAACTACAGGGGGTACACCAGCAGCCGCTGCCACCATCTCCAACGAACGGTGGCCCAGCCCAGAGCCCCAGGCAACCCAACGACAAGAACCGAGAGGGCGGCGGACGGCGCGAAGCGCTGAAGCGACAGTGCAGAAAACAAGAGAGATGTGCGGTCGGCCTGGAGAGGAGGAGAAGAGAAGTGCAACCATCGAACATGCAATGCTGCCAGCGCGCTGCACAATCTACAAAGTCACTCATTCGCGCTCCTGCGCCCAGCACAGTGGACGCGTCCGCACACCAATTTCTCCGCGTTCACAAAGAGGAAAATGATCGCCGCCTTCTTCGCTGTCCGGGTTCAACAACTCCATCAAGAACTCGTGTGCGTCTTCCTGCGTGCCTCGATAAAACACGTCCGCGACCGCCTGTGCGCGGATTGGCGGGCTGTTCACGCCTCCCTCCATGTCGCGCAGAGTGGTCGCCAGAAGTGCGTCAAAATTTGGTTCCCCTTCCCCGGCTTGCTCTTGCGCGCGCCCTCGCCGATCAAAGCGCCACCAATTCCACCTTTCAGGAGACGCGCGGGGCGCAGATCGCACGGCGTGCCTCACGGCGTCTGGCGCGAACACTCCGTGCAGCGCTGCGTTCATCCAACAGTAATTTCGCGGATTTGACAACCGTCGCAACGGCGGCGCCCCCGCGAACGCGACGCGACCACTCTCTTGCAAAGTGTCTGAGGCCACCTGCTCCGGTGGAAACAGCGGCCACACGCGCGCCAATTTTTCCAACGACTCGCTCGCGTCAACACCGCACTCTGACAACGCCAGGCCAACCACCACGACAGTCCTGTCGACGCACTCTTTCCTAGTCTCGCAGTGCTCCCCCCGCGCCCATTGCCCCAGCGCTCGTCGAGCCATTCTGGATCCAAGCGCGGCACACAACTCCAACGCTGCGACAACGGGTGATACATGTGCACGCCCAAACATGGCGGTGCCGCAGCGCACCTACTTCACGAGCTGCGCACGCATAATCGCGATCGTTGAACCAACTGGCGCCACGGTGTTGCAGCGACAGGCGACGGTCATACATGCGCTCGGCATCGCGACGGTAATCATGCGCTTTCTGTCGCATGCGGCCGCGTCGGGCCGACATGCTCCCAGACCGCCATTCCGTAAACTGTCAAACGCTCCCCGCATGAGACCCCGCACCCTGGCAGACAACGCAACGCCCTGTCCGCAGGTAATGCGATGCAACCCCCGCAGCGCTGCCCTCAAGGCGAGCACCGCCGCGAGCGACCCGATCATCTCACAGGCGCGACGCACTGCAAACAGCGGGGTCACGCGAATCTGAACTCGATCTACGCGGGAGGAACATACGAACCACCAGCCTGCTGCGGGGGCCATATCTGTCGCGTGATATACACACTGGCCCATTCCCACAAGAACGGTGCGGAAATCGCTCACGCGGCGTCCACCTTCACGACAATATGCACGAGCACCACCACAGCACCCGTAGCCGACGCAACCCTGGCGAACGGCAACGGAGCCATTGCGATCAAAACGACTGCAACCGCCAACGCCACCACGAACGCAACAGTTGCGAAATACATCACCAAGGCACGGCCGCAACGCAGCAGGAACATCGAACGCGCGCTTCAGAGAACTTCCCGACCTACGACAAGCCGACAACCCACGGAACCGCGCTCCCGTAACCTCCGAAATCTCCGAGCAGCCTACACACAAGCACAAAACACCTCGCGGACCGACACGCCGAATACCTACGAAAACACAACCCGGGGAGCTTCGAGGAAGTCGACATGCGAAGCAGAGACCAACACGCGACCCAAGGATCTCCATAACGTCTGAAACACCACAACGGCATCGACGGCGCGGAACGACATGATTGTTCTTCCCAGCATTCTTCCCAGCATTGCTAATATTGCTTTTTGATATTGTTATAAGCATCAGTAGTATTATCGTATTCTTATTACCTATAGTATCAATATTCGTCTTCGTATTCATAGTATTCGTCTGCTTCTTCTGCGTATTATTATTCGTATTCCTCCTCTTCCTCCTCCTCCTCTTCGCTCTCGTCATCCTCCACATCCTCCTCCGTGCCATCCTCCTCCTCCTAATCATCGTCATCATCATCATCAGCAGCAACATCAGCATCATCATCAGCATCATCAGCCACATCAGTATTTGTATCATCATAGTCATCATCATCAGCATCATCATCGCCAGCATCACCGTCAGCATCACAATCAGCATTATCATCATGATCATCATCATCATCATCATCATCATCATGACCATCAGCAGCATCATCATCATCAGCATCACTATCATCAGCATCATCACCATCATCAGCAGCAGCATCATCATCAGCATATTTTGCCTCCTACAACTCATCATCAGCATCATCATCAGCAGCAGCCGCAGCGTCAGCGTCAGCGCCAGCATGATGAGCATTATCACCATCAGCATCAACATCATCATCATCAGCATCGTCGCCAGTAGCCTCGGCATCACCAGCATCCATCATCAGCATCAGCAGCATCATCGTCAAGAGCATCAGCACCATCAGCATCGACATCATCATCATCATCATCATCATCACCACCACCACCATCATCATCATCATCATCGTCATAATCATCGTCAGCATCATACTCAGCATCATCATCATCATCCGAATCAGCATCAGCATTATGATGATGATCATCATCATCAGCATCATCATGACCATTCTCATCGTCACCGCCATTACCATCAGCATCATCACCACCATCGTCATCAGTATCATCAACATCCTCATGGTCAACGGGATGCTAATCATCACTCACAACAGCATCAGCCTCCTTGTCATAAGCAGCAACACAGTCGCCATCAGCACAATTACCGGCATAAGCAGCATCATCATCATCATCATCATCAGCATCATCATCATCATCATCATCAGCATCAGCAGCATCATCATCATCATCAGTATCATGATGAGCATCATCATCATCAGCATCATCAGCAGCATTATCATCAGCATGACCATCATCGTACTCCGCAGCAGCAATATCAGCATCAGCATCGCCATCACCACTACAGATCATCATCAGCAACAGCAGCATCATCATAATCCGCCGACCCCTTGTGGGTCTCTAGGCGTGCGAGATTATACCCCCCTTAATCCCCCCCTGGGACCCCAAACCAGCTAGACGCCACCGTTCTCGCCCAGCCCGGCCCCGGACCGAACGCGTCACGGGGGAGCGGAGGGCTCTAAAACTGACCAAGAAGACATCAAAACGCTCCCCTGACTGTCCCAGAGGGCCGCGATTCGCCGAAATATCGCCCTGGACGCCCACGATGGCCTCCACGCGGCCTCCGAAGCTGCCAAGACGCCCCAAAAGGCTCCAAGATGCGCCCCAAGAGTCCCAGGAAACCAAACATCGCCCCATTCCCTTAGAAAAACAATCATGTTTCGCATGCTCGCCTATTCGGTTTCCACAACGTCCCAGACGGGCAGAGAAACATTCAATATCGCCCCCAGACGGCCAAAGGGGCCCCCAAGAAGGGTCGAAGAGGGTGCAACAACAGCCTCCGTAGCCCCCAAGACAACCGAAGAAGGCCCCCAGACGGCTCCATGACGGAGCCCACAGGGCACCTTTTCGAGCCTTCGGCCCGAAGACGCCCCCGACGCTCCAAGAACAACCCAAGAGGCCCTGAGGGAGCCCCAAGAGGACCTCAAAGGCCTCCAAGAAGCCCCCAGGAAGCCCCCAAGAGGCCCCAAAACTTGGCCCAAGTATGGCCAGCAGACAGGCCACGATGCCATCAAAAGGCCGCAAAAGAGCACCAAGAAGTACGATAACAGCAACGAAGCAACAGGAACGATGTCGAGCGCCGTGTCATGATTCGGACAAGCCTCGTGAAATGCACTCCTGGAGACGCAGTAGTTTATATAGGTGTCGGCGGATGTGGCGTAAGCCTATAGAATCTACAAAGTCGCTACCAATTGAGGATCAACATTGTCTGGCACCAGTCGATGTAATGGGAAACGGATCGTACGAACATCAGCGGCTAGGCCCGTACGCCCAAATGGTCATCAGCGAGAGCGGCAGAGGCAGGACAGCGAATCATATAGCCATGTAGTAGATCACCAGCGCTAGCTCGTCTCACCGCTGCTCCACTCCACCTTCGACCCTGGGATCAAAGAGTGCCATGCCAAGACTCAACATGAAAATATGCTAGTTGGAGCTGGTGAAGCCAGATGTCGCGACGCAGACCAAGAGATGGCAAACGTGGGGCGATGTACTTTCTCCGACGTTCAGAAGATCGGCACGAGCTGTCACGAAACCGTGTCCTACAAGGTCGAAGCTCGGGTCATGATCGCTCTTGGGTGCACGCTCTGAGGCAGCCTCGTGGCGGCACTGCTCTATATCAATTTATTAGACAAGAGGCCCACCCCATATATTGCACGAGTTGCACCAACTTCGACCATTACTTCGAGGGGGCGCTTCTGAAAATAGAGAGGACGGCGTGTCGGGAAGTCTGGGGAAGGGACGCAAGAGTGGAGGGCGCATTGCAGTACCGTTGATTCATCTGGGGTTTACTCTGTTCCTTCTCCTCTCCGCCTCTCCTCTCCTGGGCCTCCTCTTTCTCTCGCGGGCGGCCACCCAGGCAGCACCAGGCCATTATTCCGCCCGCCCGCGCGCGCAGGTGCGAGCGACGCTCACCTCGCTCGGCGAGGTGGACGCAATCTGAGCACCCTTCGACAACCTGGCTCTGGCAGCCTCCTCTTCGTCGTCGCCGAGTGGGAGGGAGGGATGGGGGAGGGACCAGTGCGGGATGCTGATGATGATGACGATGATGATGATGAGGAGGAGGATGAGGATAATGCGGATGATGCGCACGATGAGAACGATTATGATGATGATGATGATGATGTTGATGCTGCTGACGATGATGATGATGATGATGATGATGATGATGATGATGATGATGATTCGAGAATTAGAACCCATTGGAGGCGACACCGTCTCTCCCTCGTGCCCGAACGCCTCTAGGATCGGGCTAAACCCGAGCTTAAGTATGCGATGCACGACCACGCATCTCGCGGCACACTACCACGTTCAGTAGTTACCGCGATGCCCCCGAGAGAAGTCGAAGCACGGCTGACTGGTCAGCCTGGCTCCAGCGCCCAGAAAACCTAGAGCCCTGTAGGGCTCTACCCTGGTCCCTAGACGCGCCTCCAGAAACAGCACGCGCTCCAGGGGCCGTGGAGGGCCTCCGAGGCCGCACGGGTCTTGAGGTCTCCACTGGGCGAGGCGGTACTAACTGGAGCCGAGGTGTGGAGGTGAAGCAGGTGAGAGGGGGCTCATCAGGCCGAGAGGAAGGGGTGGGGGTCCCCAGAGTCCTACTGGCAGCCTGTCGGGCACGGGGGTGGAGGGTCGGAGGAATCTGCGAGGAGGAGGGAGGAGTCACCTGGGCCTCACGTGCAACCTCACAGAGCCTTCTCACCACGGCATCCTGGCGCCGTCGTTTCTCCTCTGGCCCCTCGTGCAGTGGTCCTGCGCCTGGCATCTGTGTACGGCCTAGTCCATCATGCCTCCTTCGAGCTCGTGCAGGCCCGTGTGGATCAGCCTCTCTAAGTGGCCCATCGGGGCCACCCCCTGTTTGTAGTCTGCCCCTGCCTGGACCAGGGCCTCCAGCACGGGGGTCAGGTTCACTCGACTCCCGAACGACAGCACCAGCTTCACCTTGCCCTCCTCGTAGCAGTCCGAGAGCTTCGCCATCGGCACTACTTCGCCCATCTCGTGAACGGTCAGCTTCGCCAGCTCTTCCTTCAGAGTGCTGGGTTGTTGCTGGTTCGCGCGGCCCACCGCGCTTCCCTCTGCCAGCAGCCCCTCGAGCACCCCCGCGAAGCATGCCGCCGAGATCGTCCCCACCTGCTTGATCTTCACTTGGCCCTGCTCCTTGTCGTTGCCTGCGCGGATCTCCTCGGCGGCGCGAATCCACGCTCGCGCTCGCCCCCGCGCCTTGACCGCCGGCTGCAGCCCTGACGACATGAGGAACGTCTTCAGCTCGATCGACTCGATCTGCCTCTGGCGGTGCGCCAGGTTCAGCAGCAAGCGCATCATCACGGGAAAGAACTTCTGCATGGTCGACACCTCTATCTCGTCTCCGTCGAGCTCGCTGAGGTCCACCAGCTTCGTGTCCTTCCTCGGCGCCTTCTCGTTGCCGCCGCCCTTGCCTGCAGCATTGGCCGCCTTGGCCGTCTGGGGGCCGCTCTTGCGCCCTCCCTTGGCCGTCTTCCTCGGCCGTCCTTCGGCGTCGCCCTCGACTATCTCGGGCAGCCCCTGCATCCACGACATGCGGCCGAGGTTGAGGAAGATGAGTAGTGCGAATGTGGTGCTGCAGGGCTTGAAGATCATCAAAGTCTTGGCCGCATTCTGTCTCGGGGCACTCAAACAGCAGCGGATCGATGACAGCATGATTGAACGCCGAGAAGTCAGCGATGCATCGTCCATGTCTATAGGCAGCAGCGATGCGGTTGATGGCAGTGCGGCGACAAACGAACGAGGACAGACACGAAGGACACTGATTCGTCACTGTCAATCTCGTGAAGAAGTTCAGTTTTCCGTGCTCTCCTCCGCCTGCGTGTGTCTGATGCGCACGAAGCGCCGCCACTGTGCGAAACCTACGGTTGCACTCCAGACCCTCTCCGTCGATCAACGAACACAGAAAACCGCCCTCGAAGCACTCCTGATCCTCGTACGGCCTCGTGGGAGTAATGGTGGGGCGCTCAAGCCAGACCTTGCGGAGCTTCGCTACATCGAACTTGAGAAACCGCCGTTTCAGTTCTGCGTCCAGGAAAACCTTCGTGTGATCGCCCCCCACCGTCTCCAGGAAATCCAGGCCCCCTCGAAGCTTCCCAAGGAGAAATAGGTCGTTCTTGTACTGCAGGGCCCAGGGATTCGTGCGATCCTTTGGGGCGATGGGCGGGGCGCACGGTGGCGCCCACGCAAAAGTCTGGATCTCTGGGTTCTCGAAAGTGACTTTCCCGAAGACTGCAGCGAGCTCCTGAACATGCCGTTGGGGATTGCGGACGAGAGCTTGAAAGTGGCGGAGCCGTCGGATACCGAGTTCCACGCTGGGGGGTACTATCGCGATGCGCTTCCACACGGCTTCCGCACACATCGTCGTCACCTTCCACCTGGCCTCCGCAGCTTCGCCTCCCTCCTCCTCCACCTCACCCTCGTTCGACTTGCGATGGGCCGCAACCCCATTGCACAGCGCAGCAGCATATCGGGTGGCCACCGAATCAAGACGCTTGACCTGCTCCTCTGTCAAAACCCGGGCTTCAAGACCCGCCAGCGCCGCTCCTATAAGACGAGCCCGAAACACCAGACGCCTCCGATTGACATTCTGACAGGTCTTCCAGAACTTCCCCATTCCTCGCCAGCCCACTCGGATCGCCGCGCATCTAGCTCGGATCTCCTCGTCGTTCCTCCTCGAAGGCTGCGTGTGAGCTCCCAAGAACACCGAAGTCGCCTGGACCTCCCCCGAGATGGCGACCTTGTGGTAGCGCAGGGCCCTTGCAGACCTCTGAGCCCCTCGGCCCACGAAAGACGGGCTGACAGCTTTTTTTTTTCTCGCGGCTCTGGGCGAGGCCAACTCGCCCCAGTGCTGCATCAAGGTACTGATCGGAAACTTCCACGCGACGAGCTGCACTGCGCGCATGTGGGACAATGAGTACATGTGAGGTCATCAGCATACTTCCCCACTCCCAGATCGCACACTTCCTGAGTGACTGCACACCCTGCTATCAGCTCGTGGACCGACGTCGTAGGAAAGAGATCTCTCATCCACTCAGCCGTCGGCGTCTCAAAGGCCAATCGAGACTTCGTGGCCGCGTCTGCATCGCCCATGAAACAACCCACTCGATTCTGAAATGCACCCGTGCCATCGCAAGCATCGGCCACGCACGCTGTGTTCCGATGTCGTGTTACCATAATCTCCGCATCCCCAAGCTGGTACAGCTGCTGGACCGTGTCGTCGAGGTGGTGGTGTGTGACGCTGGCGAATGCGTTCGTCATGCCGTGCTTGGTCGCGATGTGGCTCAGGCCTGCTGCACCGAGTCGCCATTGCAACACATTGCCCACAGTCAACGCACCCACTCGTGACCGCCCTCTCACATAGCCATGGTCCTCTGGTGGTGGAGTCAGTCCAGGCCTAGGCTGTCTCGCCCCAACCCATGCCTTGCCAAAACTACAGAGCCCGTGTAGTAGACGTGTCCCCTTCGTCCGTGGATTGTGATTCTGTTTGCTTGCCTGGTACGTCTGCGAGAGGTTCCACCAGGCGTTGGGTCGATTGTGTTGTCGTACCCCTGCTCGTTGTGCCAGAAGACACTCTTGTAGGTAAGCACCCGCCACAGCTGGCTGGTCATTGGTGGTGCGTCGGGGCGCGCGGCAGGTGTGAAGAGTGCTCCAGACCTCCATCGGTAGTGACCACGGTGGTGCTGCTCGTCGGCGTCGGCCGTGGTATAACTTCGCAATTGCTCCATCCAGGTCACGGTTGGCCTGCTCCCAATGCTTCATTTCGGGGTAGAATGGGTAGTCGTGGGCGGACGCTGCACCAATAAACTCCTCCGCCGTAGTAGCAATGGCCTCCATCCCACCCTCCCGTCCACTCAGTGCCAAATCCCCCGTCCACGTTTGTAAGTCGGGCCTGGCATCAGGTAGTATGTAGTGATCCCGCTTCCGTGGTCCCAGTCCATTGCCCGCCATCTGAAAACTGATCCTCTAGGCCAGGTCTTCTCGGTTGCCTCGTAGTGCCTCCTCCAGTTCGCGATTCAGCTCACTCTGTCGTTCCCTCTTGATGGTCAACCTTGCCTGCTTGCACCGTCGCGTACACTGTCGCAGTCGTCGGATGCTGTCCAGGTCGCCGTCGAGCTTGTCACGTGCTCTGGTGCGAGCCCTCAGCGCCGCCTCCCTTTCTCTCGCCATCCCTACGTACCACTGCGGCCGATGTTGTCGTGTAGTACTGTACCGTGCTTGGGCTGCAGTGCGTATCGTCGTCACCACTTTCTCCCAGGCTGTCTCGAGCGTGTGAGCGCGCATCCAGGCGTCCACCTCCAGGTACCCGTCGTCTTGTAATTGTTGCGCAAGGGCCACCTCCACCTCCGCTCGGAACTGGAGTGCCTCCTCCTCGTCATTCATCGCGCGTCCCAATGA